TTTTTTTTTCCTGACTTGAAATTTTGTAGGTAATTTTCCTGTAATTTAAACTTTAAAGCTTTTGCCTTTCATAACCATGTTCATTAATTTATTAGGGATTGAGTTTTAAATATGGTGTGTTTAAAATATGTTATTTCATTTAAAAAAGTTTGCATCTGCATATTTTGAAATGTGTTATTAAAGCAAATAGATGGCTGGGCATGGTGGTACACATCTGTGATCCCAGCACTCAAGAGGCTGAAACAGAAGGATTGTGAATTCAAGGCCAGCTTAATCTATATAGCAAGTTCGTGGCCAGCCTGTATTACATAGTGACACCTTGCCTCAAACAAGCAAACAAACAAACAAACAAATGTGAAAAATATCAAAAGTCTGGCTTCTATTCATGATGCTCAGCTTCATGTTTGTGTTCCTCTTTCTTTTTCAAGAACCATAATTTTTACTTCTCAAGGAGGCAAAAAAAATTTTTAGTTCCTATGTTCCAGTCTGCTAATTATTTAATCTCATAATGTTACTGGCAACATTACATCAATTTAAAGAGGTTGTTATACCCTTTAAAAGGGTAGAAAATCTGAGGGTGATTTTTTTCCCCCTGTTGATTAAAGACTATCGTTTTCTGACATGCCGGTAAGTGTGACTTTCTAAGCAGAAGGTATGTTAGAGGCAACTTATTCCATTAAATATCTGTAGGGTGTGACAGTGAAGAAGCTATAGTTATTACCTTTTGATTTAATTTTTGACAGTCATGAAATAAAGGATTTTTAGTACATGTATATGCTAATTTTTACATGTAAAATTAAAAAATAAAGTTGAATTTAAGCATCTGTTGTGATTTATACAGCTGTATGATTGATTGATTCTCCACACCCAGGGGTCCTGCCAAAGCAAGAACCATGGCTTATTTTGGGGAAGGGAAAGGACCCATCCACATGGACAATGTGGAGTGTACAGGAAATGAGAGGTCTTTAGCTGACTGTATAAAGCAAGATATTGGAAGTCACAACTGTCGTCACAGTGAAGACGCAGGAGTTATCTGTGATTATTTTGGCAAGAAAGCATCAGGTAACAGTAATAAAGGTAAGTCACTTTTGTAGGCATTAAACAAATCAGAGAATACTAATCCCTCCATCATTACAAGTAGTACTTTGGCAAGAAAACTCTGTATGAGAATGTATACAGTTCCTTGTTCTTTGTGCTATTTAGAGCCAGGTGTTCTTGGCAAATGTGCCTATATGAGGCTTACAGGCAGAACAGAGTTCAAGAGCAGGAGGGGATTCAAGAGCTCAACTTATCATCTCTAAGATCCACCCCTTTTTGCATTCTTAGCCATTTCTGTATCTTTCTTTCCTTGGCTATAATAAAGCTGTCAGGTGTGTGGTTATCCTTGAAGATTCAGAATTGACACCTATTTCATAAAAGGGAAAAAATGAAAATACACAGATGATTAAAAAAAGACACTTCAGGGCTGGGGACTTAAGTCCAGTGGTTTCGCCGCCTGCTGCGCAAGCGCAAGGACCCGAGTTCGATCCCCGGTACCAAAAAAAAAGACACTTCACTTTTGCTAATATTTAAACAAGAATAACTTTAAATGAATTTTAAGAAAAAATATCTTTTGTAGAATTTATTCTCCAAAATTAAAAAATAAAGAAAATGAGAATATAGTGCAAAATTTGCAGAGTACGGTAAACGGGTTTCCTACTTACAGTTCTTGAAAGCTCTGGGTACATTCAATTTTTATGACATAAATACTTCTTGAAATGAATGAGTGGGAGAATTAGCCATTTTGGAGAAATCTGTGGTTATATTTTATGAAAAAAATAATCACCTCTTGATCCCTAAGTTCATAGTTTTGATGCACTTAAGCATTCTTTCTCTTTTAATACATATTACTATCTGGTAAAAATGCAATAAGTGAATTGTTGTTAATATGATTCTTCATATCTAAGGGGCTTCTACGTGTGAAAAGAACACTTTGTAAACCCGTTTTCCCTAAATGCTGATTACAATTTAATTTTTTAAATTCCCTTGAATAATTTAAATTATACTTAAAAATTAAATATAACTAATTCTTTGGATTATGTCAAATTCTTAAACAGTTGAGAAACATAAACATTCAATAATTGCAAATGTTTTATGATACCATGTAAAACTGTCCTAAAATATGACATAACATAGATTTGTTTCATGACTTATACATTTGTTTTTAAACTTTCATAGTTATTGTACCTTATTTTTTAATCTTTTTCCATGGTAGGCAATGCTTTCATACCACAATAAAAAGATTTCATCTTAGACTAGCTAGGTTAAAAGAATTTGGTGTATTAACCAGTTGGTTTTGTGTTGAAGTTTAGGATCTGGCAATTTCTTTAAGATGATTAAACTCAAAATATTGGTTATTGGTCATCTAATGAGTTCCTTTTATAAATGAACTTGATACTGCTTCTTAATTTTATTAAAACAGAAAAATGTTTAAATAGATTTTCCTTTCTTGCAATCAGGTGCTTTGTCCTAGAATGAGGTAAACTTTATGTTTTGCTTGCTCAGTGTTACATCATTTCTTTTCTTGGCTCATATACATAAACCAGATTTGTAGCATTATTGGAAATTTATGTTTTGCTAATATTTTAAAATTTGCAGTGTCATCTAGGAGGCTCATATCTTAAGAGGTGAAGGTTAAAGTTTTGACAGCATTACTCTGAGATCATTTGGCAAATTAATAATCTTGATACACATTGTTGAACTCTTTCACTATCAAGAAATAACTACTGATGATTCCCTATTGTACTCCCTCTCTACCTGGCTATTGTGAGAGACCATTAGTGCTGGTTAGGTCTTCATGTTCTTGGCACAATCCCCACCCCTCTGATCTTACACAGATAGAACAGTACACTATCTATGCATACTTTATATATGCATACTTAGCAAGGAAACAAAGCACCCCTAGGTAAATTCTATTTTATAAAATTATTTTATAAATTAGTCATGTCTTGTTATATTTGCCCTTGTTTTGTGCATTACCTTTTCATATTTTTTCCTCTGATATGAGGGATTGAACCCAGGGCCTCACACATGCTAGACAAATGTTCTACCACTAAGCTACATCCCCAGTGCTTACCTTATCACGTTTTTAATTTGACTCTTCTCATTTACAAACTCTTTTTTCTCTGAGGTAATGGGAATTGATTCCAAGATCTTATACATGCTCAGCCAACACTCTACCAATGAACTACATCCCCAGATCATGTTTGTATATTCTTGACAGAAGTCTGTTATCTTGGGACACTTGGCTAGGTACCCTTAAGTGCAGTTTACCACTTAGCCTGTTGTATCAAGCCCTTTCCATTTGTTAATTTTTTTTTTTTTTCTGGTACCAGGGATCAAACTTGGGATCTTGTGCTTGCAAGGCAGGTGTGACACCACTGAGCTAAATCCCCGGCCATTTGTTAATATGACTGTACATATATTCAGAATTCTATTTGGGAGTGTGCCTTATTCCTCTGAGCTACATATTTATACATAGCTTAGTACAGTGTTCTATGTAGAAAGTAATTTGGGCCATTACTGCCTTTGCAGTTTTTTTTTTTAATGTCCCTAAACTTCCAAAAAACCTTTCTAAGCAGCAAAAGAAGGTATAGTTACCCACATAAAACCTTTCAGAGTGGAATGATGGGAAACTTCATAAATTTTCTTGTTTCCTTGCATATTATTGTAATTTGGTTAAAGCAAATTTATTTTTAAGAAAAATTTTTCATGATTTGCAGAGAAAAGACACTTTTCCAATAAATAGAAAAGGAAGCACTAAGGCAATGTGTCAGTTGTGTTTTTACTCATCTGTCAGGAATATGATTGGTGAATGAATGACCCATTTCTGCTTCAGAGTCCCTCTCATCTGTTTGTGGTTTGAGATTATTGCACCGTCGGCAGAAGCGGATCATTGGTGGGAAAAATTCTTTAAGGTAAAAAGTTCTTTGAAGATTTTCCATGTTATAGAATAATTAATATACATACAGTGTTACAAACTTGAGATTTTTCTATTATTATACAAGGAATTTGATTCATTTTCTTTTCTGAATTAAGTACTGATTACACTGATAACTTCATTGTCCTTTGACTTACCTTCAATTTATGTAGACTGTGTTCCTACATCATTATCTCATGAGACAGATGTGTTGCTCAAGTGATATGGCAGGAAATAAAACAACTCAACAGGAAACCTGAAAATTGTGTAATTGTAAAGATTTACTTAATTTAGAATGTATTTGTTTCTGGTTTGGTTCATTTTAATATTGTATATTTGCTTAATTTGCTTATAGGAAACCATCACTTTATTATCTACTTGTTCAGGCTACTTATGTGAGGTAGAGGGAGGAGAGAAATTACATTCCATCATGAAATATAAAGGAGACTCAGTTTTTTTTGAGGAGTAGTGGCAGGTAGGTGGGAGGTGTGCAAATGCCTGGAAGCACATGTTCAGAGTCTGTGACACGTGTTATCTCAGTTTTGGGGCTCATTCTCCAAGCAGGAAGGGATCTTACATCCTAGAGTCCCTTCTGAGTTCCTTCCCCTAACCCCTAGAGGACACTAAAGTCATTAAAACCTTTGGTTTAACTGGTGCTTTTCTTTGCTTTTTCCTTTAATGGATGTGTGGCTCACTTTCTTCTCAGGGGTGGTTGGCCTTGGCAGGTTTCCCTCCGGCTGAAGTCATCCCACGGAGATGGCAGGCTCCTTTGTGGGGCAACGCTCCTGAGCAGCTGCTGGGTCCTGACTGCAGCGCACTGTTTCAAGAGGTATGTGTCCACTTTTCCCAGTGACTTGATTTGGCTCTGCCTTACCAGTTGTTCCAGTCCTTCCTGCTCAACAGCACTTGGGGTGTCAGAGCCAGGCTAGAAGGCTCCCCTGTGTCAGCAGCCCTGTGGAAATGAAGGCAGCATAAAGAACAAAGAACCTTCAGGAAGCTACTCATTATCCTGGTGTTAAATGAAACTCTGGGTCTAGGGAGAAGAAAAGAGTTTTTTAGAGGGGAGACAGAGACATTGGTACTTCCTTCAAGAGCTTACCTGAGGTGGAATCATATCCCTGTCAAGGTGAAAGTGACCTCAGGTTATATCAGGTGTGAATGCTGAGTGTGGTTTTAGTGTTTTTGATGCTTCTGTCTGCTCGGTGCTTTGTGTCTCTTAGATTTCTCCATTTCCACCTTGTAGAAAGTCAGCTTGCAGCTATTTTATTTTGGGTTTTCATGTAATTTAGAGGTGATTATTTCCTCTTGTCCCAAACATTTTATCAGTCTATTCTGAGTCTTGCCAGATGATCAGCATAGCAGAGTAGCAGAGTCAAGGCAGGCACACCTTTTTCCTTTGCCCAAGGCTCTTTTGACCTTTTGTTCTTTAATGGCCATTTCCTCAGCATTAATTTTGGTATTTATTTTCAAAATTGTATACCATCACAGTGAAAAATACTGATAATTACTGAAGCAAAGTAGTAAGTACAAATAGTTTTATTATACTATTTTCATTTTATTTTGGAAAACTGTCACAATAAAAAGTATAAAAAGAATATATAGTTTTTTATTATGAAAATATTTTAATGTTTAAATGTATTTTTTCTCTTTAAAGTTTATAAAAGCTTTTCATATCTTATTTTAAAAAATCTTTCCCTTACTCCATACATGAAAGATACATTCTTACTTTCTTTTATAAGTACAGTTTTGCTTTTTATACATTTTAAATGTTTATAGTTTATTTTTACATACGGCACATGGTGTGAGGAAGGGACCTAATTTTATACTCTTCATTACCCATTGGTTTATGTTAATTATGTCATATAACAAATTCTTATATATCCTTGTTTCTAGGATGTCTATTCCTCTCCTACTTATCTGTTTCAACTACTATCTGTGCAGGAATTTTCTATGTTCAAAGTGCTCTGGAGGATACAAATTACATTTTATATAATGTTTGCCATTTTTAGAATATAACTGAATTTGAGAATTCACCTAAATATCAATATATTTAATGTATTCCTGTGTTACATGAGTGGCAAATACACTCAAGGTTATATTCACTCATTAATTTAGTTTTTTTAGCCCCTGATATTCTCAGGCATACGCTATGCACTAGTGATATAGTAGAAAACAAGACAGGTAAGATCCTTGCTGTCAGAGTTTACGGAATAACTGTGACTCCAGAGGAGGGACACATTGACGTTGCTGACATGACCAAAAAGAGTTTAGGGCACCATCTTTAAAGTGTGTTTATTTTTACTACAATATTAGATTTAGTTAGCTTGTTAAAAACTCATGTTCCTGGGGCCTATTCATATCTACTAAATCTCTGGCACTGAGACTTGGAAGTCTGCATTTTTATCACCAATCTCAGGTGATTTTTTATGTGCTACAAAGGTTAAGAATTATGTACTTAACCGATAGAATAGAATATGATCTGGATATCTGAAGAATGAGGAAGAATATAATGGAGCTGACAGACATGTATCCTTATCTTATTCACCATATAAATTGCTAAGCTGAAAAAAAGACTCCAGTGGTAAGTTAATGATAGTTTTGGATGTCAGAAGATTGGGAGAGACTAGTAATGTATAATATATTTGAAGACAGGATCGTGATGCCAAAAGATCTTGATGAGCTGATTCTAATAAGTAATATGGAATAAGGATGAAGTAAAATGCTGCCCAAAATTCCGGGAAATTTGGCATAAATACAAGTAAAAAAGACTCATAGGATTTAGTGTCCTGCAACTTTACTATGTGTCAGCAATGTAATTCGGTTGCCCACAACATTAATTCAGTCTTGGATAGCACTGACAGCACAGTGTCCAAAGCAGTGAAAAGCCTTGCTATTTTGTTCATTGTGCTTGAGCTATTGTTGATGAAAAAAGCACTGTTTCTATCAGAAAGAATTGTGGTTAGTTCTGAGTGCCATGACTTAAAAAATATGAAGGACCATTAAACAGAAAGGGGATACGGTGTGAACTCAGATTAGGTTTTTTGGTGGTTATTTCAAATACCACAGATAACAGAGGGAGATAGTTTTGCTTTGATGTAAGAAAGTTTTTTGTGGCTATATTTTTGCCACTATATGAACTATATGAGGGAGGAAATATGCTGTTTTGGAGTCTATGGGCAGAGAGAGCCTGGATGCACGTAGAAGTAGAGGTTGGTATAGCCAATAGTTAGAGCATGGTGAAGAGAAGGCATGTACCATCTTGAAGTACAGCAGAGTGTAGCATTAGTATTATTAGCTAGGTTATCAGATCTGGGGTTTGTATAGTTGACTTAGTAGGGAGAAATAGGGAAGGCCTGGAGTGACAGAGTTGTGAATTTTTGTTTGATTCACCAGGCAATGGGAACCACTCAAAGTTTCTAAGCATTGAAATCTGATCAAAAAGGAGTTTTCGGAGATAAGCTATTTGGAGATGTATAGGATACACCTCAGGGCATAACACATTTAATGACCATGAAATTATATACTTTTTTTGCATATGTATTTGTGTACCTTTGAGTGACTCAAAGTGTCTGTTTTACCAGATGATTAAGACCCATTATTATAGGAACAAGATATACTATGTAAAAGGGCCTGAACGTTATACTTTTCTACTGGAGGGAGACCAGTAATAAGGCCACTATAATAATAGAGATAGAAGGTAGAAAAGGGAAGGAGAGAAGGTAGAAATACTCAGTAGAACTCAGAACAGTAGAACAGGAGTCTGGTAATCTATAATGAGCTAACAGCTCTAACTCTTCCAATTATTTTTTTTTAAATTGAATTTTTAAGTTTTTTGGTATATTTTAGGTATACATTACGATCACGTTCATCATTGGGAATTTGTACCTGTACATGATATATCTTGGTTCTTGTTTTTCCCATTCCCCTTTCCTCCCTTCCAGCAGTCCACCCCTATTTACAAAAGCTTTGTTTCAATTTTTCCTTCTTTTCTCATTTTTTATTTCCCTTCTTTCCTTTCCCCCTCCCCCTCCCTACTTTCCCTTCTCCTTTAAATCTTTTATTCCTATTTCACAGTCTATTTTACATTTTGGTCCTGATTTACACTTTCAGATTCTCACACCAGAGAAACAATTCAGTATTTACACACGTGTCCTATTTATTTCACTTAAGAGTATGGCCTCAAGGTGCATCCATTTAGCAATAAATATCTCTAGTTTCTCAATCTTTATGGCTGAGTACTACTCCATTTTGTAAAAAAACAAACAAACTGCATCTTCTTTATCCAGTCTCCAGTTGATGGGCATTTGGGCTGCTTCCAAGATTTAGCTATTACAGACTGTGCCACTATATACATAGGTGCACATATGTTGCTGTGGTCTGATTGTTAATTGTTTAATTTTGTTGAAATTATTTATAATTGGAGCCTCAATTTTCTTATTGTAAAGATAATGTTTGAGGGAGAAGCAAATGATTTGTAAATTATTATGAAAGTATTTTATGAGCTGTAAATTCAAGACAAATATTGGCTGTTATTATAGTGGGGTTGAAAGGGAGGAAAATGTAGGGAATTGTGGATTTTACTACAGGAGAATAAGGTAGAAAACTGCAGAGAACGGGAATTCTGCTTTGGGATTTGGAATGTATGCAAAGTAATTTGGTATTTTAATTCTTATCTTCCTCTTATTCAATATTCCTTATCTTTTCAATCTTAACTAAAAGGTATAGTCTCATGGTTTAAGGCTCAAAATATATAAAGTAAGAAGATTGATCAAAAAATTGCACTTGAGGTTGAAAACTTCATTTGGACTATTAGACTCCCTGGAAGGTATTTTTTTGTAATGCTGCATTTATTTGTTACATGCCATTATTCCTCCCTTGGCCTACTAGTAGATAACTGCTTAAAGTCAGTAATTGTCTCACTGTGTGTACAGACCAAGTGTCTAATATATTACATGGCATATAGTAGATACTCTAATGATTACTGCATGATGAAAGTGGGGGCTCAGTTGCCAGATAGTGGATATATTTAAGAATGTTGGGCTTTTTAGAGGATCATAGTTATTTTAAATCTTGTTTAACAGATAACTTTTTCCGTATGTCATCTGGGATTTCTTCCCATTATTTGCACAATGTAAGATAAAACAGTTGATTAAAAAGCAGAGCAGCAGATTATGATACACACCATTTTCATATGCTTTGGCTGTAATAAAAATTCGAATGTGAGTACAAAGACAACAACTTTGTAAATGTGTTACATGTCCATCTGATTTGGTCTGTAAGCTTTGCTGGATTTCATCGACTTCCTGTTTGAAGTGCTTAAGGAGGTTCAAACTCTCATCTTTATTGAAGTAATTCATTAAAGGGTATAGAGCCAGTTACTAGTGGTTAGAACCAGGTCTATAATTTGTTTTTCTATAGTCAGGGACTTAGGCTTAAAACAATCCTCCTTGGGCTGGGGATTTAGCTCAGTGGTTTCGCCGCCTGCTGCGCAAGCACAAGGAGCCGAGTTCAATCCCTAGTACCAAAAAAACCCAAAAAACAAAAACAACAATCCTCCTTTAATCATGAGAAACACAAGTTTTCAAAATGTAGACTGTAGTGTAGAAGCAAAGTAGTCAGGCTCTGAGACATTACTGTACTTTTAGATCGGGGAGGGGTTGAAAGATATACTGGTCTAAGTTAAGATCTATTGGTAGAGGACCTGATTTCATATTTGAAATGAACTTTCCCATTTCTTTTTCCTATTTATGTTCCCTGTGCCTTGTCAGCTACTGGACCTTTATATAAAGAAAGGTTTCTCATGCATTAGGCCTTATTTGGTATCTACAT